ATTAACTATATTATTTCAATTATATACCATAAGTAGTAAAAATTTATTCGATAAATCACAAGACCCCATGAGCACCGTAAAATCTTTAGTCAATAAATAGAATTGGTCGATTCCAGTAGTGCAGTTTATGAATTTATTTTCTGATATAATTGTCGGCATTAGTTAAAAGAATTTTATTACAGTACATGTGCACGTGTTTTTGTTTATGTATGTATACAAAGAGAGAGAGAAGAGATTCATGTGTGCAGGGAAATTTTCTGAAATATCAGCTTTACTTTCGGCTGGCTGGGCATTAGCTACTGCAGCACTTCAAATTGTTAGAAATGTATATGTATACCATAATAGACGAATTTTCATAAAGTTTTGCTGCTTACTTGACCTAGTTGCTGTACAGCATAAACAATCTAAATAAAATAACAAAAGGTCCGAAATATTCTCATAATTCGCCAGCTGCTGCGTACCACGTTGGCTTGCAATAACATGGAAGGCAATACAATTTATTGCACTTTAATGAGTGCAGGGCATGCAGGAGATACTATATGCATATATGTATATATAAATGTATGTATGTATATTTGTAGTTGCATATATACAGTTATACCCTATAAAGTTTGTTTGTTAAACCGCAACTACGAAAGCAATCAAAATCAAAATGAAATTGCGTGCAGCTTCCAGCAACAATACACGCACACACACACACGCACACACTGAGAGATATTTACACGCAGTTGCCCTCGAAACTGAACATGGAGGACAAACATTAACATTTCTATGCGTGCCACAAGGCCTATAAGTAGGCAACATAAAAAAAAAACAGAAACAGAAAAAAAGTGGGAACACGGCAAAAGGAATTTCCAGCAGCATCCAGGGATAAATTCTGTTGCGAGCTTTTTGCCCGACTCGTGACACAGTGGACGCGAGCGAGAATGATAGAGAGCGAGAGAAAGAGAGAGAGGGCTAGAGACTGAGAAAAAGAGAGCGAGTGAATTTGCGAGCGTAAGAGTATAATTGAGCGCTCTCTCTTCGCTCTTCGCTGTGGCAAAGCCAACAAAACTAATTCGATTTGCTGTCAGCTGTGCCTGTGTGTATGTGTGTGTGCCACTCGCTCTTTAACTGTTTGTTTATGCGTGTATACTTTCTTGTTGTTGTTTTTCTTTTTTTTTCGTTTGGTGCCCAGCCTAATAAAACTCATTAAAAAAGCAGCGCAACGCCCACGCAGCGGCATGGCCCACGCGGCGTATGTGTTATATTTTTCTTGGTGCTGCTTTCGCTTTTCTAGGCGACTGCTCTTAGTTGCTGCTGTCGCTGTCGTTGGCGTTGTTGTTGTTGTATTTTTCGCATCGTGACATTTATTTTTACTTAATTTATTTTGTGCGCCGCCGCTTTGCAAATTTCCACACAGTCGTTTTCCCATTTTCTGCGCATCTTTCCGCTCCCCTGCTACTCTAACACGACTACCAGCTCACAGCTCGCAGCTCGTAGCTCCTACATCCTACTCCTACTCCAGATGTTGGCTGCTGGCTGCTGGCTGCTGCCTTTTGCCTTGTATCTTGTGCTGGCTTTTTCGGCATTCGCTTTGCCGTTCGTTTCGTTTATTTGTGTACATACATATTTATTTTGCAGCATTCAGGCCCGCGCACCCATGCTCCGGCAGCTGCTGCCCTTCCCTTCTCATTTCATTTCGATACACGCTTCCAGCTCATTTGCCGCTTCGACGACAAAAATTTCAGTTTTCAGCTTTGGCTAACATGGCCTGGCGAGCGTTATGGGGGCTTGGCTGATGCTGTTGCTGAGGTGCACAAATTTATTGGTTGATGGTGGATGAAGGGGCGTGGTGGGAGCGGGAGAGACGAAAGGTAGGAGGCAGGAGGCTGGTATAGAGGGTAGCCATCTGAAGTGTTTGTATGTGAGCGGCTTTAAGTGGCAGGAAACGGTGTGTGTGTGTGTGTGTGTGTGGGTGTGGGTGTCGGTGTGTCGATGTGTCGTTCTGGCGGCGGGGTGGCCATTGGAAATATGGGTCAAGTTGTTGCCGCCTGTGCTAAAAATTAAGTCGTCGCTGTCGCAGCTGACGTCGCTGTCGGCGTCGCTGCCAACGTTGCCGTCATGGCAATTATTGCTGTTGCGCATTAAGGGTTAATCCTATTGCCTTATAGAGTGTACAGAAATAAATTTCAGACGATGTGAATGTATGTGTATGTGTATGTGTCTGTGTGTGTGAGTGTGTGAGTGTGTGTGTGTGTGCATATGTTGTGGCAATAGGCAAATGGCTGCCAGTCTTGACCATGTTGTTGGCTAGCTTCTGTCGGCCTCCTTTGCTGTTGTTGTTGTTGTTGCTGTTATTGCTGGCTATTTTGCGGCTGGTTAATCGGTAACAAAATATGTTTATTTATGACTGCAGCTGCTAAATTTTATTCATACACTTATACATGTACATATATATTGTTGTTTGTCTTTGTAGCCATTGGGCATTGGAAATGAATTCGGGTCGTATTTAAGCTTTGGCTATTTGCTTTTGGGGCTCTGCTTAAATATTGCCAATCAAAGTGAGCTATAACTATTTTTATACGCATTCAGTTTCATTTGGCCACTTAATGGAAAAATTCTTGGCGAGTGTTGAGTTGTAGTTTGTTCTGTGAACTTCGAGAAAATAAGAGAAATATTCATTAGGGATGGTCTAAAGTTATTTTAAATATTCTAAACTTTTTTTGTAAAATATTAAAATTTTTAAATTATAATAGAATAAATTAAAAACAATTAATTAATTACCCAAAAAAAAAAAAACAAAATATAGTTTGTATTAAATATAAAATATTTGACGTTAAATTTTAAATTGACGTATCTAAAAAAGTCATTCAAATATTTCCAGCTCAAAT